CATTACTTGGCACCGAAAGAATCTATTTGTTCTCACAAATCCTAGCACTTCGGTGTCCTAAACATTTCCACAGTGCATCCAGAAGGGGAATATTCTTTACATAAACCTGCCTTACAGGACCAAAAATTTACAGCTGCTTTAGCAGTCATACTGCACGGATACATGTTGTTGCTGTGAACCCTTTCCTTGTAGATTCTCTCACAGGCTCTTCTTTTTCTTGGAATTGAAAGTCAATGGAAGAAAGCCTGAAAGTTCACTGGGTCAATGGAATATGCAAAAACACGTGAGAAATTTGCTTAGACACTAATTATTACTTCCATTTCATAGCCTCCTGAAGCATTTAGTTACTGAAAATATGTTATCTAAGGATAGAAAGCACTGAATTATCTGTCCTCCTTGGAGAAGTAAATGGTGTGTTGCGTTGAGGATAACATTTTACCATTGTTATTCTGAGTGGCTAAATTCAACAAGCCAACTAAATATCTTTTGGCAGAGTATCTGGAATAAGTATCAGAACTTGTCTTCTGTCAGCAGATACTAGAAGTAGTTCAGAGGTTTGAAGAAAAAAAAAAGATCTCTGGACTATCAAACAGCTGTTTTGAGTCAACGATACATTCTCTCAAATTAAATTAGCAATGTTTGATGTATATTACCATGGCAAATTAAAGAGCTGTTTAATAAGGCCTTTTAGAAATAAATATTATCTTTGGAGACATTATTGTTCTTAGCAAAAGCCTGTTTTGGTTCTTATTGCAAAACACTCCCATCCACACAATATCTGTCCAGTGGATAAAATCAGATTTCTTCATTCAGCATAAGAAATGAAATCGTTCAGGTTCTTTTAAGGACTAAAAATAAAAACTGGAAATAGGGATCACAATGCTTTATAATATATGCAATGATGCAAAGTGTTGCTGCTGAGACACAGCTTATGGCAGGACGTAGTTAGGGTCACCTTACTTGTACTGCATCTTTTCTGCATAATTTGAATGCACATAATTGCCCATAAAATGTTGCAAAATGTTCTTGCATCCTTCACACCACACAGCGAAGAAAAGGTGTTTTCTCTCACATTTAGTGAATCTGAACAGAGCCTCCTATTTCCGACCTTCTGAAACTTTGGGAAGTTCCTCTGATGAGGTTTCACATTTCTGGCTTGTGCTGCTTCCTCCTAATTTAATTGCTGGATCTGCCTCAGTTTAAAAAGCATCAAGGGAAAACTCTAAAAAGGAATAAAGCTATACAAGTATCCTGATAACTTAAAACTTGCTTTCTTTATACTATAATCTATTAATTTATAGCTTTACAGTGATTAATTTAATTTATTTACTAATGCAAAGAAGTAAATGTTAAATTAAGAGAGATTAGAGAAAAGTGCTTATGTTCTTTTCCAGTCTGATGACTGTTGGCTTGAGTTTTCCTGGCTACAGTTGAGTTGAATAATAAAACTGTGCAGCAGTGATTCTGTTTATGCCTCTTCTGCTTTCTGTGTAGTCTGATTTTTCTTACTTTGTCCAGCATCTCATGACATCATAAGGTTAGTGTGCATCATTAACAGAACATTAAACCAGAAAATAGGTCAGGTTTTGTTTCTTTTCTGAAAGTTTCTTCAGCAAAATGAAATGGTATGAAATACCAAAGAAAAACATCTTGTCAAACTCCTTCTGACGTGCCCATTTTCACAAAGTAGGGTCGTTCTCACTTTGAATGAGACTTTTGACACACGTTAGACTGTGGCAACTGCAAAGCTTTGCTTTCCAAAAAATAATTTTAAAACATAGGTGTGTTATTTCTTTAGTTTCATTTAAGTAGTAACCAATTAAAGTCAACTTTTTTATATTGTTTTATAATCCTTTGTGCATTTTGAGGGTGGAATATTACTATTAGATGTCAAGAACTGGAAAGGGAAGAATCAGCCTACTAGTGAGATGGAGAGGCAAGCACTCTCTTCTGTAATAAATGTACAGCCTTAAGGGCCTTTATTAGTGAGAATTCCTCTATGCCATACATTAATGCTTGGTTTCATTCCATTTATTCAGTTTAACCCACACATTAGAGAACCACACTTTGGCTTGGGTATGTTCTGTGCTAGCTAATCCACTTTTTCAGCAAATCTGTTTAAAACTCTGCTTCAGTCTGCAGCATTCTCCCAAACTAAAAGTATTCCAGATAGCTGATGATAAGCCATATTTTAGTCTATGAGATAGGCTTTTTCATTACTCTTTTTTTGATTCTTCTTCCAGTCAAATCTGTGGCTCAATCTCTTACACCATGCCAGGAAAAAAAGGAAAATGGAGAAGAGATGGTATTTTAGGCTACCTGAGGTGAAACACCTGTTTAACAAAGGAGCACAGTTGTATATTTGCTATCGAGACACCATATGCCAGTTGCTTCTCTTACGGTAAAATGGAAGAAAGAATTAGTGAGAGCCTGCAGTGCAGATTTCAGAGATATTTTTGTTGTGCTTACTGCTCTCTTTTCTTCCGGCGGGGCTTTCTCCTTCATACAATGACAAATTTCTGGCAGTGGTTTTGAATACAGATGCAGACAAGTCCTAGTGCAATTGTAAGCCTCTGGATTTCTGGGTAATAGTTTTGGGCACTAGCATAGCTGTATAGTGTGTGCTCTGCAGGTGAATTCAACTTCCCAACTAAACGTGTTTTCCAGGTTGATTCCAAAGGTGAACACTGCCGACTTGCTTTGTGTTTTAGTGACCAGGCTGTGTCCCTGTGTGTGTCCCTCAGGTTGCTGCAATTCTACTCTTCAAGCTGTTGTATTAAAAAAAAGGCAGAAAGAGTGAAACAAGTTAATAGTTCATAAAACAGACACAGCATATATATATATATATATATGTGGACAGGTAACATTGTATTCTTAGTACTGATAGAGCAGAGGCTTTATACCCCTAAATTATTCTCCACTAGACATTATTCTTTTGTCTATGTGAAGAAAACAAACAGCTTTCTCTTGGCTTTCCTCCTTCTTTTTTGTATTTGCTTTGTAGACTAGCAGTGTTAGATTAGTGGTTTTCTACTGTTTGGTCTACCTGTACAAATTTCAGAAGGATTTTTGCTCTTGCTGCTTGCTCTCTGTTGTACCTTTGTAAGAGTTTTTTACTTTTGCGTAGCCCAAAATTGGCGGCACAAATATTATGAGGTGCTGAAGGGCAAAGCTAGTGCAAACATAGACAATGCTGACAAATATTAACAGCAGTGAAGTCAAATTGATTAAATAACTTCAGTCTAAGGACTGTATTTTTCCAGGTTGGAGCATTGTTGATGAGTGGAGAAACCTCCACTGCATTATCTTTTAAAAAAAAACCCCAAACAAACAAAAAATGAGCAAACAAGCAAACAAAGAAAAAAAAAATATTCTGGAGGTATGTGTACATTATTTTACCAGGTTAAGGATGGAGGGATGTTTTATTACAGATGCCAAGAAATATTCAATAGGAAAGAAGAATCTAGTCAGGTATGGAATGAGAGCATATTAAAGAATTACTAGTTGCATAATTTGAGTTTCCTAGCTTGTAATTTAACTATTTCTAAAGTAATCATTAAGCAAGCTATTTGTTGTGAATGCCAGGATGTCCTGACCTAGTATAGAAAATTTCTTATTGTATGTACCACAGAAGTATTTCCAGTTCTAAGACATAGTGGTAAAGTCTGATTTATTTATTTCTTTATGACAGCTAAATAGATCTCTGAAGTATGTCTTAGTATTCACTCTGTTTTACCTTAAAACACTAGAAGTGCTGTGGGATTTTATTCATTATTTAAAACTTATTGATTGAAATTTGACACATAAATTGAAGGTATGCTGTAAGATGGTACACAAGGGATGGCAAATTTATGCCTTTAGAAGGTGAAGAATTCTGTTCACTTAATTAGCTGAGGAAGGTTAAGTTAGACAAATTAGTCTAGTAAATCAGAAGTGAATTTTAGTGCAAGTGTCCATCATAAATAAACAAGAGTAAGACACAATTGGGGGTTTAAGCATTTTTTTCTGCATTTTTGATCCCCATTTAGTCGATTCATAAATCAATTAATTACTGTCATGAGACCTGAGAGCAGCAGGAAATTTGGTTCAAATTAAAAGGAAAGGAGACAATTTGTTTTAAGATTGAAAGTTGAATGTTCAATCGAAGTTTAATCAGAAGTGACCCATTATTTGAAAAGTGGAACATCAATGTCTTTCTCATTACACACAATGCTTCATAAAATGCGTATCGAAAAGATCAACTTAACTGATCATTCCAAAAGGAAAGTGAGACAGGGAGGTTTTGGAAGCTCACTTCCAAATACATGTTATGCTTGTTCATTCCTCTTATAAAGAGCTCTTAGAGAAACCAAATAATTACACTTAGAATTCAACTATTATTGGCATGGTCCTTTCTCATTCGTACAGACCGTATGATAAAAACATAGATTGATATTGGAAGAGCAAAAGTCCTTAATCCATTTGAAGAGCCATGCCCCTACAGAACTATTTACAAGAGGTGATAGCCTGTGAGGAGAAAATTTTCAAAGGTAGATGGTATTACTGTATACAGAAGTAGGATGGTTGCAAAAGATAAAAGTATATTCTTTTATTCTTGTATTTACCTTTCTCCTGAAGACTAAACCACTAGACTAAACTGAAGTTCACTGAAGACTAAACCATAACATATTTAATAAAATGTCTGATTGCTGTCTAGCTCAGAGTGAAATCTGGGCATGTATTATTTATTTATTTTTCTGTAGGCAAGATTTTTAGCTGCTTTGAGAAGCATAATTACAAAGACAACAGCCATTCCAGAAATAAAATAATAAAACTTAGGGGGTTTTGTCTCTTTTGGGGACCTGGAATCAGTTAATTAGATCAGTAAAATAAGTTCTAATAATTGGCAAAACTTCAGAACAATTTAAAGGGTTTTTTAATCTCTGAACAAAGTCTAAGAAGCATTTGAAGGAGAAAAATCAATGTGTAATCCTAAAAGTCTTTTTACTTGTTTCTTACAGAATTCTAGCTTTCTCTCAGAAGCTCTTTTTCCTGTACATACAACAAAAACAGAAGAGCTGGATCCCTCCTTTAGCCTGCATGAGACCATTGCAAAGGTAACAGAAACTGAGATCTCATTTACACATACTTTTTTTTTTCACAAGGCCAAAGTTGGATTGTTAATAAATCTAAAAGATATGCTATTTTTTCCTGTGAATGTAGTTTAAAATTGCAGAATTTTTTTCACTGAGACTCACCTTTGGAACAGTCTTTACTGTTACATAGGTCTGCTTTTCTGATCAAGAGACTTATGTGCAAATTCTTAATTTTATGTGATTCAGTTGTACTTTGCTTATTGGCATGGTTCATATTACTTATTGGCATGAGTGCAGGGCATTGAGCCCCACTAGATGGCAGGAACTAGTAAGTTTGTTGCTGTAAATTTTGTCGGTGATGTCAGTGAAGGCAGCTCTCTTGGGGCACCTTCACATGCACAGATCCTTGGTTTTAGGAGTTGTCACAGTGTGATCACAGGGGAGGAAGAGGTGGCCATCCCATGATTCTAGAGACTGCTCTCCAGAGGGGATACTCCCAAAGTTAATGTGTTCTGACTCCCCTCTAGTCACTCCAGTATAATGCTCCCTCCATGTTAATAATTAATACAATCAAAATTACTCCTTGCTCTAAAGTGCTCTTTCTCTGTCCACTCAGCAAGCCCTGTTTCTACAGAGCGACGTGACTACAAATGATTGCAACTTAATGGATTCATACATTTCTTTTAATTGGAGAGCTATTTTGACCTCACAAATGTGGTTATTTATTTATTTGAAGCTACTTCTTATGGAAAAGCAGCAGATGCTGAAACATTTCATTTGGCAACAACAAAAATAAATTCACCAAGATCAGCAATGTGCAGTTTTAGCTCGTAAGTCGATCAGCATCTTTGGTGAAATAGACAGTGAGGGACTGATCTTGGCATTTTTAGGGGTTTGTTTGTTTGGGTTTCTTTGTGGTTGTCTTTTTATTCATTTAAAACAAAAAAAAAAAAAGGCAAGCACATTTTCCTAGACATGGTTTTGAGGAGGCTTGGCAGAGTATGACAGTTATGGAGCAATCACAAGACAAGGAGTCTTCTCTAAAGCCCTTTTAATTGAACTGATGATTTTTAAATCCTCTTTTGTGGCAAAGTGACTTGAAAGGATCACCAAATTCCTTCCCTAAGACTGAAGGAAGTAGGTATGTAGTTATTTACTGCATAATTAGTTTATGATTTACTAATTAGTGTGTGATGAGCCATGTGTAATCTGAATAATCTGTATATTCGTATTTGCTCTCTCATGTTGTCTAACACAGAAAAATATTTATTAGATAGTTGACTTGAAGCATTTTGGTACTTTTCAAATCAATACAAATTATTTTTAGTAGGTTCATTGAGCATTCTGATTTTCTTTGATAAAACATGATGAAGATTGCACTAGGATACTACTATTCCATTTTGCTTTTCAGACTGTAGCCCAGGATGCTTTTGTAAAGATGAATAGCATATGCAGTGGTTTCTGAATAGCTTGAACAGCAAAAGTTTTCTGCAGTTCATCTATTGTTTACTCTTCCTTATAGTCAGATAACGGTGTTGTTACCTCTTGGTTTCCTCCAGTCCGCCTTCTGCCTTTTCCTCAGAGCAACTAAGCCAGCCATTGTATTTCCCTTCTACTGCAAGATGGGCTTTCCTTTGCCCTTCTTTTATCCTAGCATTTTTCATCTACATTTTCTGTGAATGAATGTTTGGAAAAGTATGCAGTATTTTATATAAGGCCTGAATGTGGCTTGGTGTGGTAACATTTGACCTGGTTTGCGTCTATTTCTGTATTCGGGAGTATGAGATATAGACAAGCCAATTTATCCAAGCAAATAGATTTCAGAAGTTTGTTACTTGCTGGTTGACACGTAGCCTCTAGGGTTGGGATAGCATCACTGGATAAGACCAAAATTCTGTTTGATACAAAATGCCATGGTATTAAAAAGTAGTAGGTTCTTGGAGGATAAATATTGCAAATCAGGGTATCGTAGCAGGACCCTACCCTGGTGTACTTTCCCACTTGCTGTCAATTGGCAGTGCAGTATTTCTTAGGCTCATAATCACAGCTCTACACCAATTTCCAGCTCTGTTACATGTGTGTAGTTATCTATGCCCTTTTAAAATTCATTTGCATTCTGACTTTGGTAACATCCCATAGCAACGTTTCCCTCAATTTAGTTCCCACCTTTACTTTAAAACCAGTTGCTTTCCTTTCTAAACTGTGCTGTGTCTGTGTGAAGTATCAGTTTATTTGTCCTCATAGGTAAGTCATTCCTGCCTAATAATATATTCCCTTTTGCAGTTCTATGGCTTTTCTTGTTTTAAGATAATAAGAACTATGTACCATATTTGAGATGTTGGATCACTGTGGATGTGTAGAATCTCTGAAATTTTCTTATTTAAACCTTCCTCAATAATCCTTGCTATTGGTCTTTTAGATTGCTGTTATCCATCAAATATTCATGATGACTTGAATTTTTCTATCTTCAGTGATATGAGCTAATTCATAAGTCCTGATTGTGTATCCTCATAGGTTGTTTTCTCCCATGTGCATCACTTGGTATTTTCCAACAATGAGCCTGCCATTTTTCAGCCCAGTGCTCAAATATTGTGGGATGCAGGTCAAGAAGACACAAAGAATTAGTATTTCTCGGTCTTGGTAGCAGAGGTGTACTTAGTGTTCAGTTTGATGAAAAACTTTTGCCACCACACATCACTTTGCAGTGTGCTTTGCTTGTAGGGCCACCAAAGCTGAGGAAAAGCTTGTGCTGGTTTTGGCAGAAGATTGAGTCCTTCAGCCTTTCAGAGGGAAATAGGGCTTTGATGATATTCTGCCCCCCCATGTGAATGATGTGATACTAAGTAACAATAGAAGAATTTAGACAGAAATTTTTACATGAGGTTCAGTGTGAGAACAAATAACCAGCTAATTGTGGCTTATGCTCTCTGAAGATAGTTAATTTCTAGAACACTTAGAAAGGAAGAGATTGCCAAATGTGGCAGTTAGAATGAGTGAGAGATGTGCATCTATTATGAAGGTAGATCTGTAATCTGAGTGCTTAGAAGATGTAATTTGTAAGAGAACTTGTCAGAATAATTCATCTTACATGTTGGAACTTTAAAGGTGGATTTAGGATAGATTGCTTCAGGGTCCTGGCTGATCTGAAAGATTCAGAGAGGAAAGCAAAGTATGCAGGCTTCCTAGTGGTGAAGAACCAAGATATTTATTACAGCAAGTGTATATCAGTACAAAATATAGTGGTATCTTAACTGAGATTTGCAGACCTTGTCATTTCAAGTGTGTTTTATAATTTATGTATGAAGTATTAAACTGGAGAAATGTGTGCCTATGTGGCAGAGACTGGGTTTTCCCATCAAACCACAAGTCAGGTGAAACTCCATTGCTGTCACTGCATACTCAGAAAAGCATGTGCTATTTTTCGATAAGTTTCATGAATGTTACTCAGCACAGTGTTTCATGGTAACTAGTCAACTGGACTCATTAACAAGTTTGAAAATACTTCTGTGTTATGAGGTATGCTCACTAGGGCAGCCTAATAAGACACAGATTATGCACTTCTAAAAGCTTTAATGGCAGTCCCCCAACAGGGAGTGCCACCAGAGCCACTTACTCAGTATTGCCCATGAAATAATAATAATCTTGTATTGATTTTTACTTTGGCAGGCACCAAAGTGTTGAAAGGTATGCCAGAAGTGGCATAATTGGTTTTATGATGAGTTATGGGTGCTGACAGATAACTCTTGAGAAAATTATTAGTGGTCATGATTAATCTACACCTCAGTTATGGGGCTGCATAAGGTAGAACCGAGTACTGTCATGCAATTAACTTCTAAACATCAAATGAAACAGCAATGGGGAGGAATGTTTCCATTTCTAGGGGAAATAAGGGGCTTTTATGTAACATAATGCAGCATTTATATTTTTTAGAATATAAACACTTCAGAGATGATGACAGGCAGGTTCCTTTCTTGGAGCAAATGGAATAAAAAGTACTGGAATGCATGGCTCTCAGTAAAAGAAATTCACACTTTGACCACAGTTAAGATACAGCACAGGAATGCTGATTTGAAGAGTTCTCTAACAAGGTCATACTGTTCTGTTCTTTTGAAGCATGAGAGGGTTATACAGTCCTATTTACCTCGTGTCTAGACCCATTAATTCTCTAATGCAAGGACAGGGAATACTTGGGCAACTTGGCAATGCAATGGTATCTGTAACTTTAGTAGTTCCTTTCTGTGCAGTCTCCCTAAAAATCAAAATCTGTTGTTTGGTGCATGCTGCCTGTAGTAAGTATTTGTATCTTCCTGCATAATGTCTCTGAGTGATCTCTTTTTGTGTGTGCTTCTGTACTGAAAAAGCTAAAAGTATATTGGAGATCTATAGACACCTGATACATGATGTTGCCGTGTATTATTGAAATACTATATTTCTTAAATACAAAATAATACACATCTAATTAACATGGAGACAAACCCACACAATCCCAAAGACTGAGAATGCAGATTTTGAATCAGCAGAATGGTACTGTGGAGAACAGTACTAATGCTGTTTCCTGTCAAGAGTTCAAAGTCAAAACAAAATCTCCCTGTAATCAACCAGCTTGAAATTTCTTTGCATTTCATTGAAGCATATGTTGTAGTTTTGGCAGGGATGCAACCTCTATAATATCAAGTGGAAACAGTTTCACAAACCATGTGCAGCATATCTACATTGCAAGGTTTTACCAGAAACATTTCTGCCAGCAGATATTACTGGCATAGCTGTTTCAGCAGAGTGCGTTCACGTTCCTCTGGTGTTCCTCCCCACAACATGCCTTTTTTGATGCCAGATTGTTCATGAAGAGGCTGTGTGACATTGTGGTTAGGCATCCCAGTGGCCACCATCAAGGCAGCTGTACCTCTACATTTCCATTGATGGATCTTCATTTTTCATTTTAAAATTTCCTCTGCGTAGAACTAGAATATTTGGCAAAATTAATGAAGATTTCTGAGCAGCAGAGACAGAATATTGCTCCACTC